GCCCCGCTTCGCCCTGGCTGGCCCCGGCGTCTCCTCCGCGGGGTCACGCCTCAAGAAAGCGGTGGGTCAAAACGTTCCAGTCTTACGCTGATCGGGGTTGTTCCACGTGTCTACCCTTCCTTCTCTTTTTTAGTAGTCTTCTGGTGTTCCTATCCCCTAGTACCAATCTACTGTAAGCTTTTTCTTTTTTTAGTGTTGACTCAAATACCTAGCTAATCATTCTTAATCTTGTATTTACAGGTTATATTTAGTGAGGTGTAATTAGTGTGCCGGAGTGGGATTTTTCTCTGGTTTGGGTGTTTTTCTCTGGTTTGGGGGTTTTTGGCTGAATGCTTTCTCTTTGTCAAGTAAATCCTATTCTCTCTGTCTTCATTTATGTAGTTTTCCTAGGTACCTTTAAATAACACTCTGTCCTCTGACGTGCATGTAGCCCCTCCCCACACTGTGATGGGTGTAAATTTTTACCTCCCCACACTGTGATGGGTGTAAATTTTTAAAGTGTTTGCTTCATTTTGTCACTTAAATTATTAATCAAAATCCAGGATGACTCTGAACCCAGGACAAATCCTGTACAACTTTAGGCACTCTCCTAATCTAGTAGTGATTTTTTTTTTTTAAACAACAAGTAGTTGGATAAACACCTTTCACTGCTTTCATTAGACAGTGTTTTGCTGCTTTGATGTGGGACAGTGGTAAAATCTGCAGTAAAGACAAAACATTCAGTCTCTGTCTCTCACCTACTCACTTGATCTATTCCCAGTTGTAGATTTCTCAAAATTAAATCATGCTAGTTGCTTAGTTTCTTTCTTTGTTACTTAGTATCTTGCTGTTTCTGGATGCTTCACAAACAGTCTGTTTCATGTTATGTTCTTCTTTCTTACTTCTGCACAGTGGGAAGACTTTTTTTTTTTTAATATAAAGTACATAGCTTTACAGTAAGCTCAGAGGAAGGTGATAGGGGAAATGTATTTTTATACGGTTGGTTTATGGCATAGATCTGAGCTGCCACTTCTTTTTTAGTGATGGCGTGTGGCACTTATACTCTTTTACAGGGCGCTATTTTCCAAAACGACCTAAGCACCTGCTTGTAGTTGAAGCAAAGTTTGATGGTGAACAGTTGGCTACTGATCCCGTAGAGCATACTGATCAGCCAGAATTTGCTACAGAATTGGCTTGGGAACTTGATAGGAAAGCACTTCATCAGCACAGGTAACGTTAAATTTTATCTCCAATTTAGATTTAACTTTCTAATTTTCTTGTCTTACAGTTACTGAAATACAACTTTTGTATTGCTATCCCCTGAATTTTTTTTTAAAAACTTTCTTTTAACTGTCCACTGATCTACGATAATGTTGCCACAACAAATAAAAGTAGTATGTGGCAAGGTAAGCAATGTTTAAAAATTCTAAAGGATATGTTTTTACACTACAGAAAAAAAAAAACCAAAAAGCTTACAGCAAGTTAATAATGCTATAGTTCAAGCACTGGACTTAAGCTTTCTTATGTATACTGTGACACAGAATGAACTTAACTTCAAGCCTGGAAAGCCTAAGTAAAATATTTTTGAAAATGTCCAATAGAAGAGCTGAGAAATTGAATAAGGTTTACATAACTTTCCTTTGGTTTTGACTGATAGATTGTTATTACCTCCATATTTTCAAAGAAGTTGAAAAGGCCGTGTTATCTTTGATGTTTGAGAGAAAAATGCCTAAATGTACCTTATGCTAGACACCTTATCTATGCCTCTAAGTATTGTTAGGTGCTTTGCACTAAAATCTGTTGCGTAAGCCCTATTTTTAAGATGCTGTCACAAGTGAAAATCCAGTTTCATGTGAGGTGCAGTTCTTATTTCTTACGTATGGATGAGATAGATTGATTTTTTTTTTTTTTTGTTGCTACATCTTTTTAATAGCCCTTTAGGCTCTGTGAGACTCCAATACACTCCTCTAACAAAACTAATCCACTTGTTTTTTATCTAACATAATGATGAATCTTCCGATGTTCAATATAAACTCAGTTTCTGACCTACTAAAACTAGTATGTAACAAATTTTGTATCATTGGTATACTTGAAACTGCTGAATTATTTTTTATGAACTAATTGTAGAGAACTTTTACACTCTGAATTTCAACTGAGTTGTTCTTTCAGGCTGCAGCGTACACCTATCAAACTCCAGTGTTTTGCATTGGATCCTGTATCTTCAGCTAAAGAGAATATAGGCTATATTGTACTTGATTTAAGGGCTGTGCAGGAAAAGAAACAGGTATGTTATGGTGTATAAAGCTTTAAAAATTATGTTTTCACAGCAGTACTTTTACAGATAATAGAATTTGAATTCAAGCACAGGCATAACTTTTTAGTCTGGTTTTGGAGTACGACCCCTAGCTGATTGCATACTTTTTTTTTGAGAGGGGACATCTTGACTCTATAAAAGAAAATGGGAAAATGAAAATACTTTTGAACTGATCTTGCATTTCTGAATTTGAGAATTGGAGCAATTTTAAGCAATACTTTTAAGCAATTTCATGATTTAATCACCTGGAAAAATTTACCAAAGCAATTGATATTGAGCAATTGAATTAAGTCTCCATCATCAAATCAAGTCTTAAGGTTTTTTTAATGGGCCTCTGTAGAAGGTGTTAGGTGGTCAAAAGTTCTAGCCCCTTAACACAGTATAGAGTAAACAGAATTCAATTGTTTATGTAAACTTAATCGAAATCCTGTGTTGTGCTTGATTAAAACATAGCTCTAATGTGGGTCATAACAGGACCCTGGTGTCTTATTTTGGCATTGCACTTCTTAAGGATTTGTGATCCATGTAAGTTACTATGCACTTTCAGTTGCCAACTTGAAGATTTTCTCTTCTAATTAAAGACTTATTTTTCTGTAACAATATTATATTATTTTCTCAGTTTTTTAAATGCTTTTGGTTTCTATTTTTGTTTTTAATTCTGTAGGCACCAAAATGGTATCCTCTGCTTAGTAACAAGTACACTAAATTTAAGTCTGAAATACAAGTAGGTGTTGTGTTGGAGACTGATTCAAAAGCACTAGTCGATGGTTTTAAAGCAAAAGAGGCACCCCCTAGAGAAGGGAAGGGTAAGTAATACAATGAGAATATCACTCACTTTGAATTGAAAATGCTCCTGTGCCAGGTGAACATACCACTTGTTGCAAATGTGTTAAGTCTCAAGAGAATTTGAATTTCATAGCCTTTCCAATGCAAATCCTTTACAGCTGATTAATGTACCTTGTCATAATAACTTTACAAGGATGCTTTACTGTGGTAATCGTGTGACTTTCAGATGGGCAGAGTTACAAACCAACTGATCTTTAAAATCAGAATCAGGGACTCATAGTTTACTCCTGTGAGCTTATTACTCATATTTCAGGGCTTTAGAAAGTTCTGTAATGAAAGAAATAAGAAAGGAGCTTCTTTGCAGAATGCAGTTTCAGTAGTTTGGGCTTGGAATTATAAAGTAGTGCAATATTTTGTTTGTTGTGTTGGCTGCTTCTCTCTTCTGATGGGTTTTTCATCTAATCTAAGTTGTTCAGTATTTAAATCATGTTCGATTGATAAATTTTTGTTTTAACATCTACTTTAAATTAACTGTTGGGACTCATTCCACTTCTGGATTCCCTTGTACATTGATCTCAAAAGTAATTAGTGAAATGTGTGAAAAATGTATTAGAACTCAAATATTAACACTAGTATGTGTCTTTATGTGCTGTGCTTTTCAGTAATCTTCTTTATCTGGGATTTTTTTAACGCTAGTTAGTAGTTTAAAAAACCAAACCCCCTTAGAAACATGGTCTAAAAAAGACTCACAGGACAAAACCAGATTTACCTCCCCCATCATCCCCCAACCCAAAAGCCTAACTACTTCATTTCTAAAAACTGAGCCTCTGTTACAAGTAGTGGATTTTCTCCTGCTTACTTTACAATACCTTATGTTTTTGCCCTGAGGGCAACCTTTTCCCAATTCTGAATTCGTCATCTGCTTATCATCATCTGTGGCCATGGCTTTGTAAAAACAAAGTGGTCAGTGGCAGTAAGTATTTTACAAGGTTTCTGGCTCAGACTTCGATGACTTGGCTGCATTGCAAGAGTGGTTAAGGCAGTATTGAAGTTCCAGTGTAATTACTTAGCTCGCTCCACCCTTTCAGGTTTACAACAAAGTACGGGGAATTTTGCATGCTGTAAAGTTTGTAAAGGAACTACTGAAAATTATTTGTTAATCTGCACTTGCCTTGTGATCTTTCTGCCCATAAGCTCTCCTGCCCCTCATGACACTGAGAGAAAACACAAGAGATCTCTTCTGCCTTGACCCAGCACTGCCTTCACACAGTACTGTCTTCCACTTCGTGCTTTCTGTGGAATAATTGATGCAAACAAGTTTGCCAGTTTTTCCCATCTGTCGTCTCAAGACTAGTCAATACCATATTTAGGCAATATAGGAAAACAAACCATGTAGATTTTCACAGATTTGAAGTTAATGTTCCAAGCATTGGGTGAGACAAAGATAGACTACCTAGTTCTGGTCTAGTCAGATAGTTAAAGAGGTGTTTTCCTTTTAGGGTTTCACATGCTTCTGTGTTGGTGTGGGTTCACAACCAAAAGTGCTGTGTGATTATTACTATTTGATATAACCTGAGGTACTTCGAAATGTATTGAATTACTGGCACTATAGAGTAGAAACTGGTAAACCAGAATACAAACAGTGTTTTATGCACTGAAGGCTTCAGATTAGAAACCTTCAAATGAAGGCAAAGGTCTGTCTGAGACATCCAACTTCTTTCAACAATTGAACAGGTTGTCATATGCAGTTACTGTCTTGCATTTCCTTTAATGAGGAAAATACACAGCATAGTAGACTCTAACCTAATGAAATAAAGTTCCAGTCACTGTAATGTTACTCACTATAATATTAAATAAAAATATGCACTAGCATTCTGTCTAGCACAGTGTTCAAAACATCTGTGCCCACTGAATAGAAATTAATTTCAGAATTTTTTTGTAGCTATACTGAAGTATACTTAGGGACTTTTTTGTGTTGAAATGCTTTGGAACCAAGAATCAAGATCTTTATTTGTCATTTTTCTTTCCACACATATAATTAAAGGTAAAAATACAATTATTTATAAGATTCCTGCAGCAATTAATAAGGTCACAAGTTAATTAATTTTTTTTCTTCTGTCTTAGCATCTGCCTTTCTTTCTGGACTAGACCCTAAAAGTATTCTACCAGTCTTGAATGAAGAAGAGGGCTATCATCAAATCGGACCAGCAGAGTATTGCAGAGACTACTTTGTCTTGTCTGTAACCATTGCGTTTGCGACACAGTTGGAACAGGTTTGTTTCCTTGTTACATGTAGTTTTTAAGTAGTATTCTCAGTTTTTATCTTCACCCTCCCATGTGTTATTTCCAGCTGAGATTTTTTTTTATGGTCTTGTAAGTTTCTTGCAATAAATAGACTTGTTCTGTATTGAATTTAATATACATTAATTTGAATCTTAACTTTATGTAGTGCTTACATGTCAAATTACAGATGAAAAGTCAGAATTATTTTGGAGCACTGAAATTGCATTTACTTTAAATTATGCACTTCTGTGAAATGCATACATTCATATTACAATATAGTATAGAAAGTACATATGTGGATAATATCAATCTTCAGTGTGGTGCCCATATGCTGAAGTTCAAACACCACAAAATACCTTTCAGATCCATAAGATGTATGAAACAGTAGACTTTATGTGTTGCCTGAGGGAAGGACTTTCTAGCTTGGCTGAAGTGCAATACTAATGTGATTATTTCAGCTTTGGACCTCAGCTTCTGTGTTTATGCTGTACTGTACCTCACTGATACACATTGTCTGATTTTAAAAATACAGGTATGACCAAGTTACTGTGAAAGTCACCACTCCAAGCCATCATGATTTTAATTCATCTGTAACTCATAGTGTATGATAAACTCTCCTCAGTGTTGTCATCTTTTTTTAGAGAAAATAATTTTCCATGTCAGAATGACAGGGCATTGTGAAGTAAATTTACTGTGATCACTCTGGGGCAGCTTGTGCCTTTCTGAGTACTGAACTCACACTTGCAGTGGGTACATGATGAAGCAGCTGTTTCTGGCTGTTCTAGTCTTTTATTCAGTCATATAAATTATATAACTCAGTATCTAATCTGCATTGTTTATTTACAGTACAAATATTTTGTGATGTGCTACTTATTTCTGAATATTTGTGCAGTGCTTGACATGAATGAATTTATGATATCACTTACAGCCCTTAGTGCTGATAAATCTTAAAGGTAATTCAAAATGGGTCATTTTATAAATTATTGGTATGCTTGTAAAGTAAGATTTTCATTAATACTCAGACTGAATTAAAACATTTTTGCGTGTGTAGTGCAAGCTAGGATTTAGGTCAGCTGCTTGGTAGTTTGAGAACTCTTTAAGCTCTTTAATTTCCAAGCTAATGCTTAAGGATTACTGTAACTGTACCTTAATGAAAGGGATTACATTCTTCTTTTCTGCATCTTTTTTTAGTTAGTTCCTAGCACTATGAAGCTTCCTGAACGACAGCCTGAGTTTTTTTTCTACTACTCATTACTGGGAAATGATGTCACAAATGAACCTTTCACTGATTTGATTAATCCGAACTTTGAGCCAGAAAGAGCTTCAGTTCGAATACGTAGTACAGCTGATGTCCTTCAAGTTTATCTTTGTGCACAGTCAAAATTGCAGGTAAGCTGTTTCTTCTCAAATGTGAATAAAAATAAGTAATGAAAATAAAAGAAATAGAATATGGCTCAGACTGAAGCTGGAAGGCGTTTCTCTTTCCAAAACTAGATCGTATTACAGTTTTTTGGCTCAAATATATGTTGATGCCTTCGCTGATATGAGGGAAACCCTAGCAGCAAGTTTCCCAGCTCAGAGTGCAGTCTCTTTAGTACGGTTGCTATAATAAGCTGGGTTACTTGTAATGATAAAAGGTATTGCTGAAACATGATATTCACAAACAGCTAATGTGGTATTCTTAAGAGCTCTGAGCTCTGGGACCTGCTCTGCAATCAGATCATCTGCAGCCTACAGTCCTGCTTTGTGCTGCCTGTGATAACCTCACCCACACCAGCTGCTGAGGTCACTCTTGCCTAAGTTCTTAAATCGCTGTCCTCAGTGCTCTTTGTGAATAATAAGGGAGGTCTGGCTTTCTTCCCACTCCTTAGCCAAATACTATTTTTAAATGCACTACAGCCATATTTGGGCTGCTACAGGATATAGCTTATCTTTAGCTATGCCTTTAAATGGGGGGCATGGTTTAGTGGTGGACTTGGCAGTGGTTGGACTTAATGATCTTAAGGGTCTTTTCCAACCTAAATGATTCTACATAGCTGGTAAATAAGACAGTGTTAGGTATACAAAATAAGTTTTGGACCTGGACCCTTTTAAAGTTCTTTTTCTTTAAACTTGTACAGACCATTCTAATCTTGTTATCTAGGTTAGTTTAAGAATGTTTCTATTTAAAACTTATATTGTTTCAGATTTTTTGTCTCGACTCTTAAATATTATTCTAATGACAATTTTTGGAGAAGCACATGCGCTGATGTGATTGGAATTTAATCTTAGTCTATGGTCTTGAAACAAAGTATTTAATATAGCATATAGTATATATATGTACACATACGGAGAATTATGTATGTTTTCATCATGTTAAACAACTTTGAACAAGAGTTGTTGTGAGGCAAGATCTACATCTTGATTTACAGTTTTCTTTCTCCGATTTCTCCTTCAGCTTCTTAAAATTTAGGGTATAGGATTAGAGCACTATATTCTGATCCTCAATATTTAATGTATTTTTTCTGCAAATGAAGATTTTAGTCATAAAAGGTGCTAGCTGCCAGACTAGGGTGTGTGTATATATATTGTGTATTATTGTATTTGTATGTGTGTTTATGTACATATACATACACCCAGGTGTGTATATTGGTAGCTGACACCTTTTAGAATTAAAGCCTTCAATAAGTGTAATAATTAATAAGGATCAGAACACAGTGTTCTGATCTGCTAAAACAGAACTAAAGTGACTCTTATTTGGGAAAGAGCAAGTTGGTATGTAAGTTTCGAAGAATAACTTTCACCAAGGAAAATAAGTTACCTTAGAGTGTGGTGTTTTTTTAAGATCCATCTTTTACTTAGGTGTATCAATATTAAGATGTAGAAGGAAGACAGAGTTGAGTCAAGTTTTGAAAAGGGAATAATGATTCTTACCAGGAATTAAGAACACAGTTACTTAATTCCAAAACTCCTTGCTATTTAAGTGGTGTCTAAATATATGCACAAAGGCTGAGCTTTCAAATAACCTTTGTCTTTACCTTGCAGTCATGCATTTTATATGCCTGTACATTAAAGGGCTGTATTTAGAAGCCACAGGCTATTGAATTTGTCCTCCAGAAGACATGATATGGCAGGTCCTCTGAAGGGCAGTGCAGTGATCTGCTACTGTGCTAACGCTGGTCAAATCCTACCTGCCCAATACTGAAATTTCATAGCTGTTCTTATACTCCTCAAAACACTTGTTCTCAGCATACAGAGACTAGACTAGGGATGGTAATTTTAATTTGTTGTATTTGTGCTACTTTAGTAGAGGCTGAACAGAGGTTCAAGTGGAAATGCACTTGCCAGTTACTTTCTAACACTTTTGTATGTATACAGATACATCTTTGCTGTGGGGACCAGTCTCTTGGAAGCACTGAAATACCCCTGTCTGGACTACTGAAGAAAGGAAATCTGGAGATTGGTCAACACCCTGTGGCAATAGAAGGAGCATTTGTCCTTGTTCCACCAAATAGAGCGAAACAGAAACTGCCACAGTTGCCTTTGGATATGTCTCCTACTGTCGGGGTCTCTGTAATTCTGCAAAGGGAGAGCTTGAGTGCCCAGGTATAGCTTACTTATTGTTGGTTTAGACACTGTCACACAGTTTCATGTTAAAAAAAAAAAGGTATTTCTAAGTCATATTTGACAGTTAAAATATGCAAAAGAAAACCTGAAAGAATAAGTTGCTTTATATTAATAATCCTTTCATTGCTTCATTTTTCTATGGCAGAAAAATAATCTCAAAGTATAAAAATGTTGTAGACAGTATTTTTCAGTGCAAGCCATGATCAATAAGAAAACTATATTACTTCATTCAGCCTTTGATTCCCTTAAATGCTCCAACTGAACCTAAAGAGCCACAGGAGAAAGTTCTTTCACCTACTAGCGGAAAAAAAGAGGGCTTGCAGCAGAGATCCCAGAATGCCCCATCTCAAGCTGACCACTCTTCTTCAACAGAAGATGAAGCAACAGAAAGTGAAATGGAAAGTCTTAAGTTTGAAAAAGGCACAAAACTAAAGAAAAAAGGTATGTGGTATAGAATTTTTTCCTCAGTTGTCATGTGTGGTCTTTGATCATATACTACTCGTTTGTGGTGATAAACTTCAGAAAAGTAAGAATTATTTGCATAAAACAAATAACAGGAGGAGAATAAATGTTTTAATTTTAACATGATGGTTGTTGAAAACATTTGGAAGAGGCAGATTGGAGCTTTGGTGGTGTGAAGATTACAAGTGATATGGATGGTCATCAGCTTGGAAAGTAATACCAGAAACACTTGAAATTCCCTGAATGTAAGAATGGGAAGGTTCAGTACAATACCCATGAAGAAACTGACTTGCTCAATGTAACTGTCTGTTTTGGCAAGATGTAAAACATGTCATTTCACATTTATCTTTCAGGGCTGGTGGCTGAGTCTTCCCAAGAGGTTAATAAACAGTATACTGAAGAGCTTCCAGCTTTCAAATCTGAGAACAGAGCAAAGTCACCCCTATTGTCAGATCTGCAAAATTCCAGTAATGCAAAATTTATCAAATTTAGTATATGGAATGAAATTTGAATATAGTAGCAACTTAAATTAATTTTAACAGTAGGCTGTATACAACTTTTGTTCTATTGACTGTGAGAGCCTTAAATTTCTATTCAGCCATTTCATTGCACCAAACAATTTAGTGACATTTTACCTGAATGACTGAAAATTACTTCATCCCTGTGTTGTACTGACTAGCGGATGTAGAACTATTATTGAACTTTCTTTTTTGTATTGTTACTGTTAATGCAAATAAAACACTCTAAACCAAGCAGGCAAAGAATAAAGTCAGTGCTAGCAATGATGTATTTTTTTAAAGTTACAAAAATGGAAACATTTTAGCTAGTGATGAAGGAAGAGGATCAGAACAACTAGCACTTACAAGAGGCAGTTGAGTTCCCCTCTGACAGTTTCTTTGCCTCTTCGTTTGCTTACTATCTTAAACATTTTTGGAGGATACCTTTTGGACACCCTGTCTGTAAAACTTGCAGTTTGATGTGTTACTCTCTGAAGGCAGTACTGGGTCCCAGTGTAAAGACTTGAGAAGCCTGGATGCAATTGCACAGGCACTTGCTGTAGCTTTTGCTTCTTAAATTGTAAAATAGATGTCACAGTAGGTGGGTTGTGATCAAAGGGCATTAAGCAGAAGTGCTTTACAGACCTAGCTAGAGCATTTTAGTTTATTTCAATAGTTACACCTGAGCTTGAGACCAATGCTTCCTTACATGAGCACTGCAGTTGACCTGATACTGTCTTTTTCAGTCCCAAACTAAAGACGTTAGTTAATGCAAAACTAGCTAAGTTAATACAAATTAATTTTTTGTAAGCCCGCCTCTTTTGCATGCCCTCAAGTTGGCTAGGAACAATTATGTAAACATTTGAAACTGAAGTCTTACAGCATCCCTCTGAAGAATTTAACATCTTGGATCTTAGTCTAAACTTTCCCTCAGTGACATACTTACATAGCTTTGAAGGTTAGTAAAAAAAGGAAAAATATTGCAGAATCCTTTAAGAAGATTTAAGTATACTTTTTTGTGGGTTTTTTTTTCTTTGGAAGCATTAACTTACAAATAGAGTGGCTGTTTTTCATAGCATTACCTTATGTTACAAGGAATTGAAATCTCTTGGGGAAGCAAGCTACCTGTAGTTGCATTTAAAATGTGAGACCTATCTTTAATATATTTTGTTATTTCTGGGTGGAACACATTATTACAAATGTGTGCAAATTCTTTTGTGTTTTGTGTTTTCAGCTGATAATGGTCTGGTAGCTGTATCTCAGCCCAAACCTGTGGGTGCATCCAGTTCTTCTGAGCCTGTGTCAGCACAGAAAATTGTCATTCCAGCAGCCTCTCATCATTTTTGCTTTTCAATAGACTTACGAAGTATACGTGGTCTGGAAGTTGGTTTTCCAGTAAATTGCATTTTAAGGTACAATTAGGTTTTGATCTTACTCTTGGTAATATCCTTCTTCTCAATACAAAGCCTTCATAATCTGAATGATTGCTGGCAATATGCTGCCTTATGCCTTTTATCTTTACGTTGCTGATTTTCAGTAGCAAAATACTTCAGAATGTTCATCTGGCTTATCACTAAACTTTCAGGTGTTACAGCATTAAAGATAGTATGTAACACTTCCCATGCACTGTAATTTGTATTACATCTCACTCGCCTATCTGAGTTCAGCCAATACAGATCATCATTCAGTCCTTCAAGGACTTACTTTCTGGCCACCTTTCCAGCTGATCAAAGTAGTGGTTTCTGTGGCTTTCCATGTCTCCACCAAGAACTCCTTGTAGTATTTTAGTAAGAGACAGATCACCTAGTTTGTGTGTGACAGTGAATCTAAAGGAAGCACATTCTGGTCTTAAAGTGAAGAACCAGTGTAGTAAAGGCATTAGCATTCTGAGAGGTAGTATCAAGGGGGTTTTGATAGCCTTTGTGTACAGGAAGCAAACTTCAGTAGGGAGAGCTAGCATCTTTTTGTTACATTAATTTGTGGAGTTACAAAAAACACGAGCTATTTGGAGACATGAGTCTTTTGCCTGAAGCAAAAGTAGAAAACTACCAGTGCTAGTTTGGAACAATTGCTTAGAGATTAGTTCCTGATGTCAGTGTGAAAGAAAAGTATGGGAGCACGTTTGGAGAATAAGCAGATGTTATCTTGGAGGTGACTGCGAAGTTGGAGGAATAATGGCAAGAAACTGAAGAGGAGAAACACATCAATGCTAAGAAAAGTTGCAGGGTAAAAAATTGCATTTTCACTGTATATTGGTAGTATTATTTCATTCAAGTCTAAACAAGCTCTTTAAACAGCTTTGCACAAGCAATTGAAGTGTGGCATTTTCTAAGTGGCAGGATTTGATGCAGCTGATGGCTGTCACTGTCAATTTGAGCAAAGCAGAGTTCAAGAGGTTTTTGGCCTCCCCTTTGTAGCAGTTTATCATACACTGAATTGTGCTAGTAGAGTAGTTTCAGGTCACATTGAATATCTGAGAACTAAATTCTACTGTTGAATGTATTTGTGAAAATTTTGCTAACGTTAATACAAGTTGTGCTTCACTAAAAGATTTCTGAACTTCTTGTTGCAGAAGGTATAAGAATAAAGTATCTATTTACTAAATTATTATTTTGTTATTTTTGTTACTGTTTTTATTAGGTACTCGTATCCATTTTTTGGCAGTGCAGCACCTATTATGACAAGCCCACCTGTAGAAGTCAGAAAAAACATGGAAGTCTTTCTTCCACAGTCCTACTGTGCATTTGACTTTGCAACTATACCTCATCAGCTTCAAGATACATTCTTCAGGTGATAACTTGCATTCTTTTTATCTTGGTTACACTTTTTAAATTTTTAATTGTAAATGCAGCCACAATCCTTGCTTTCATCTCTTGAGTACTTATGCAGGGACCATTGCTTACAGAAACAAATGCTGTTGCTGTAAGTTGCTATATTAAAGGTTGATAGCATAGTCTTACTTCAAATGAAAAAGCTAAGGTTTTTTATTTTTCTTTAATATACAATGACTATTCAAGATCTTTGAAAATACAGCATGTACTTAGGAAGCTGAGTACAGTGTTGAGGGCTGTGGCACAATTTTCCTAGTAGTCCCACCAGCTTTCAGTAACTGATGTGGAATAAGGAATCATTGAAGTAGTGGTATTTTGAAAGAAGAGGTGGAGGAGATGTATTCTATGAGTGGCAGTAACTAAGATTTATTTATAGGTATTTATAAATGAAGACAATCTAGGTCTGTTAAGATTATTCAATCATTTTCACTGCAGCATTGTTCTTTTTAATAATTGGAGAAAGGAATAATCTGACCAAAGTGAGTAAATGATGGAGAACGATCTCATTTCTCTGAGTGAGAGGCAGTAAACTCATCTCATTGTTTGGCAGTTGTGACCATCACTGATTTGGGAAGTTACTTTTAGAACATGAGATCTTTTTCTCAAATGAATAGGAATGATTCTTCTTTTGTGTCGATGCCTGACACTAAAATCACTTCTTTGTTTCAGATTACCTCTGCTGGTTGAGTTGTGGCACAAGGATAAAACAACTAAAGACTTGCTTCTAGGGGTGGCAAGACTTCAGCTTTCAAATGTTTTGGCTTCAGAAAAAACCCGTTTCTTGGGTGGTAAAGGTGAACAATGCTGGCGTCAGACTTGTAATGAAACAGTCAGTGTCACAGCAGCACAAGGGTAAAACTATTACAAAAAATTACTTTGTAGCAAGTTTTGAAGAATTGTTTGTTTAGTATTTCCCTGAAAAAGGGCAAGCTCTTCCTGTTTACCTTTTTGAATAGGTAAAGAGGCTGCAGAGTATTGCAACATGGGGGTGGGAGTAGGCATCCAAGAGATTAAAAGTTAAACTGCCACAGACATGTTGTGCAACTCCACACCACTATCAGACTCGTCATAATGAACCTTTATATAATCACGATCTTGGGTAAGCTTCACAGACAGATTAAAGAAAGAAATAATTGGAAAAAATGTTTTTGAGCCTTAACAATTATAAAAAAGCTGCTGATATTCCAGAAAATAGTTAAGACTGTTGTCCATAGTATGCTTTTAGATGCAATTGACTTCAGTGACAGTTAGGAGGACAGATTATATATACATAGAATGGAGAGGTTTCCTGTTTCAGGGTTATACCCTATGATAGCAGGGATTTGAGCTTGTGTACATCACAAGGAGCAGTGTTATTACTTCATTTCTCTTCAGACAGAACATTTGCATAGAGAATGTATGTATATGAAGAAATGTATTTTTTATGTATATGGAGAAACTTATAGTTACTTCTGTCCTGTGCCCTTGTTGAATACATGAACTGAGCTGCCAATCAGCTAGCTCGTGTCTAGACCGTCATCTTTTTCTGTGTGGTAATGGAACTTGATAATAGCTACTACATTTATTTCTAAAGGCGTAAAGACTGAGGTCAGTTTTAAACCTCTACTCCTGCAGATAATTAAAACATGCTATATCTGTCACACAGGAAACTTGAGGTTCCTGACACAGACTGATGTCCTCCCTCCTTGCAAGTTGATAGAAAGTTGATCTCTGATTTTTTGTTTAAACTTTTTTGTGTGAAAACCAGCATGGCCTGATTCTGTGGAGAGTTACTTTATGATCTCATTGTACCTTAAGGTTCACACTTTCACCAATAACTAGTTTGTTAAAATCTGGTTTTGCACAAAACTTAATAACCACTAGATGGCGTTCACAAAATATATTCAGGTCTCTCTTTTGCTGTGCTGATACCTCTCTAGCTCTGCTCTTGTTGGTGTAATGTTCTTTTTATCCTGATATGTTAAACTGACTTAATTACCTTGAATCTTGTTTTGTTTTTTAATCTATGACTGATAGAAAGTTGTAAGAATTTAATGTACTGATTTGTATTAACTTATGTGAAGTACAAATGTCTGGTGGGGTTTTTTTCCTTGAAGATAACTGTGTAGAAGATTGTACTTTTGTAAAAAAAAAAAAAAGAAATTTTAGTGTCTTTTT